TGGGTTTTTACACTAAGCCTGTTATCAATTCCCCACTACGAAGTGGAGTAGCCCAGGAAAATAATCACAACGCGTGGCCAACTATGGGATTAAACTGCCCTTAATCGCATCGCGTGGTCCACTCGTATACGGGTTGCTTTATTTTGCGAGGCTCCCTAGGTATTCTGTTATGCTCGGGTTATGCTTTAATAATTAAGTACCATAGTGAGACTTTAGTGAGTGGAGTTTACTCATGAGAAAAAAATCCTGCTATCACAGGAATTAAACCCAGGACCATGGAATTGGAAGGCAAGCATCTTAATCACCAAGCTATTCAACTCCACTCTTAACGTGTAAAGTATCTTGAATGTTCATGAAATAATTATTATCATTAGTGTTTTGATTTGATTTGATTGAGTTCATTTCGTGTGGACACCGACGATTACCCACGATTGTCTGAAGACTTTCTGGGGTCCTTATGTTGATAATTGGGCAGTAAACCGGGAGGCAAATATTTCTATTTTCTGAAGAGTTTTGCGTTATTCAAAGTGCACATGGGTCATCTCACGGAACCAACGGCTTAAACGTCTCTTCCGAAAGACAGTGCTGTGTGCATTCCAGCCAACACAACACAACACAAGGAGAGCAGCCGATGGAATTGTACCTGGTACCAAACGTAAAAAAACGGATCTTCACGGCCCAGCACATACAGTAGCTTTCACCACCACTTTTAACTTGACTGCTGACGGGTGTATACTCTACAGTATCTATAATCAGAATGTAAAACTCACCACAACTGGTAAGTAGGCAACTCTGACCGGTTCCTTCAACTCTTCCACAATTACTGTTTCTACAGCAGCATATATGACTTGACTTCCGATCGTTCTATTTTCGTTAGACATCAGACGATAAGATGTAAACAGCTTAGACGTTTGATAAATGATGAAGCTCACTTGCAGATCATTTGGACCCGCTTGTTCCTGACTCTTAGTAACAATTTCCGGTGGTAAAGCAATTGACGTTTCAAATATCTCGTTTAGATAATCGTCTAAGTTTTCAAATTTTTTGATATTTTCTTTTTGTAGGCCGATTTTAACGGTACCATTCATCGGTTGTAACGAAGCAAATCCGATTCCATTTTCCAAAGCTGTTATATTGACCAACATCGTCTGTATAGCTACATTTTCCTGGACGTATGTGAAATTCGTAAGTGATGCCAACAGAGTCTCGAGGGACTTAACTATTCTTGATGAAGCAGCTATACTCTGGTTGTCTGCCATGAAAAGTTCATTGTCTAGATTTTGTACATTACTCACAACTTCTGTTCTCTTGACAACTAACATTGTTACCTGCGGATAAATTAAAATCAAATAATTTAAATATAAATTAAATTCATGAAGATATGAAACCTCCATGTTTGTAGTACTTGTGTTTGAAACACATCGCCTACCAAAGTCAGTGCACCAGAAAATAATAGGAAGCTTTCGCGTAGACGCTACAACGGAATCACTCATGCGTGACCGTCCGACGTTCTTTGTACTACGTACATTTGGCTAAATTGCGTCCTAGAATATAAGAGAACTTTTTTTTTGACTGCGCAGATGACTTTTAGTGACGTCATTACGTTCTACTTCCTACCGTCGTCGTGCAATCCAAAGCTCCCTTCTACTCAACTTTTTTTCAGAATAATTTATTGAGCCCTTTTTCGTACGCATGTGCTATGCACAAGTAACTTACAGTTTATTAACGTCCCATCCGAAGGACGAGGTAATTAGAGCAAAGTGTCCTAACTAAGGACAGAAGCAAGTACGAATTTTGCAGGCCTTGAACTATAGTTTTCCAGATATTTTACTCGTAAAATATTCTTAGTGGCCGTCATCGAGCTTAGATTATTATTGGCACAATACCTCAATATGAAACATATAATTAATTTCAGATCTACGTCTACGACTGGACCTGACTTACATGCTGATTGCCAGCGCCTATTTCAGTTACATTTTCTAAAATGGAGGCAACATCGTTAAGGTTAAGTTCGTCTTTGACATTCTCGTTGATTGATGTTAAGATGGAAAGTTGACTAGCAACGTCCTCAACATTATCTTCCGTCACAGTCACCTATAAAATCAAAATCAAGTTATCAATCATTTCATAATAAAAAAAAAACACAGAGTAAAAAAATAATGTTCAATACTTACAATTATGTATCAAATATATAAATATTATTATGTACTGTAGAACTGTTTAATCGATAATAGGACAAAACACAATAATAATAATAATAATAATAATAATAATAACTTTATTTATAATAATAGTAACTATTATTATTAAAGCGCAAGACAATATCCATTAAAAATGTTCACCGGCGCTGTACATAATTTCAAAACATACATAGACCTACATACACTTTAAACATATACATACATAAGAAATATAAATTAAAAGCAAATAGAAATAATTGAAACCAATAATCATCACAAAATCACAATACCATCTAGCATTCAAAAATCTAAAAGAAAACGCGACATGAAAGAGAAAGATAAAACACTAAACTATTTTTGGATTTTTTAAAAGGAAAAGACAAGACAAGTCCACCAAATCGTCACAAAATTTACATCAAAAAGTTATGAAAAATAAACGTAATGCCGATAAAAAACTACAGTATATCATGTGTTTTGGAAATTTAAAATAAAGAGCTAGAAGTACTTAAAATGCAATGCCGATTAGAATATACAGTACATCAAGTCTCATAAAGTTGAACTACAAGTTGAATATAAATGACCTACATAAAAGTTAAACATTAAATCTTTTTTTAGATAAATGTTTTCAAATTAGACTTATAAACATCAATGGTAGTACAAGATCTAATATAAAGGGGTAACGTGTTGAAAAGTCGAGGACCAATATTCTCAAAGCACTGTCTTTAAATGCTAATTTTTACCATCTGATCGCAGTTCTTTAAAAGATTTCACCTTTGCCAAAAACTGAAATCCCGATCGAAGGTTTCGTTTTGGAGCGTGCCATTCAATTAGTTCAGATAAATATTGTGGTGCAACACCATGTAGAGATTTATTAACCATTATTAGCAATTTTAATTCAATCCTTTGAGGAATAGGTAACCAATGAAGTCCAATGTATACGTCAGTGATATGATCGTATTTACGTGTTCTTGTTACAAGCCTAGCAGCCGCATTCTGGACACGAATAAGTGGTTTAAGTTTATAAGTCCAGCAAGCAACGAATTACAGTTATCTAATCTAGACGAAATAAATGCATGAACTAGTTTTTCGAATGTAGGTAAGAATGGCCCCGGAAAAAATGGCCCCAGAAAAAATGGCCCCGGAAAAAATGGCCCTGGAAAAAAT